TCCTCACACCTCATGGCACCCTTCTAAAGAGCTGGCAGTGCCCTGCTTGAGAATCACTGACTGCTCTAGACCAGGGGTGGGCAAAATGTGGCCCACCAGGCCATTCTACCTGGCCCGTGCGGCCCCTAAAAAATTTAGAAAATTAATATTTATCGGCCCCTGGCTGCCTGTCATGCAGCCCTTGATGGCTTGCCAAAACTCAGTAAGCAGCCCTCTGCCCAAAATAATTGCCTGCCCCTGCTCTAGACAATCCCACCCTAGGCTGCATTCCTTATGAATCCTTTTTTCAGGGATGCCTCCCCTGAAAAATTGCTGATAAACAAAGCTTTCCTTCTTCTCTTTTCCCTGCTTTACTAAGGAAGGGCTTTTACTCTCTTTGTGTCTACATACCAAAGACGTTACATCCTCTAATCATAGAAGATTAGGGTTGGAAGGTGCCTCAGGAGGTCAACTAGTCCAACCCCCTGCTCAAAGCAGGACCAGCACGCAGTTAGATCATTCCAGCCAGGGTTTTGTCGAGCTGGGCCTTAAAAACCTCCAAGGATGAAGATTCCACCACCTCTCTAGGTAACTTGTTCCAGTGCTTCAACAGCCTCCTAATGTGAAAGTTTTTCCTAATATCCAACTTAAACCTCCCTTGCTACAACTTGAGACCATTACTCCTGGTTCTGTCATCTGTCACTGCTGAGAATGGTCTAGCTCCATCATGTATATGGACAACCTTGCAACCCAGGGCCAGACATTTTTGTATTTGTTTCCCATGTTTTCCCCTCTCCAGAGTTTTTCCAATGATCAGGCAACGCCTACTTTTATGCCTGTCAGTTTGAGGTCTTTAGCTCTAGATTCTCTGCCCAATCTGCTGCATTTCCTATGTCTGCCTCCTTGTCTGATTCTCTCTGTGCAATGGCCTGGGTGTTTTTCACTTGTAATGTGATGGCTTGTAATGTGGTGGTTTCTGAAGTACAGAAACCCTGACAGGAAGTAAGAAACTGCTCCACAGAAAGAGAGTGGTTTCCAGCTGCTTGAGGCACAAGTAGTCTGCCCTGTATTTCCTATCATCTTTCCCTTTGTATGAAAAAGAGAAGTCAAGATAATTCAAGTTTTATTCTAATAAGCAGAGGTGCAATTGAGGGAAAAATCTGGTGCAGCCTCATGTCCAGCACTCTGGATCAGTGACAGTCATTCTTCCATACCAGGTGAAAGCCATTTCTTTGAGGCGCTAACAGATTGGGCCTGTGAGGGATCTTCAATTTATATGTAACAGTCTCTGAATCAAAAATCAAAGTTCCACCCAAACCAAACATTATTCTGGGTTCACGTGGATAAACCATGACACTTTTCAGAGCCTATGGGATGTAAGTGGGGGGTGTGATCTTCATGATCTCCGTTACCTAATCTTCATGATTCCCACTGCCCCCTTCTTCCAGTCTAGAGGGGAGAGATATGCTTAATGTCATGTCTGGCAACTCTCGACTTCCCTACATTTACAGCTGAGTCGACTGGGAGCAGGCTTAGCTATGGATCTGAAGCATGCTTCATACTCATGTTTTCTGTAGCAAGACATCTTAATCACTGTAATTTTGCCCCAGCATTCATTTAAGACTACTGAGATGATATATTTACCTGAATACAAGACCCTGAATGTAAGACAACTCTCCCAAATTAGATTCTACACATGAAAAATTTATAAATGTATTATAATTTGTCAGGGGTGTACTTGGTAGCCGTGTTGGTCTGAGACACAAAGACATACAAAAAACTAGAACTCTTGGTTCCAAAATGATACATGTATGGACTCTAATTATTGGAGGATCATCTTAAATTCATCCCTCCCCACTACTGCAGGTAGTGGGGGAGGGGTGACAAGGCAGGGGGAGGCCAAAATATGGCCTGTGGGACATATCTGGCCTGCCAGTTGATCCTATCCAGCCTTCCAGCCATTGCCAGGAGCCTGAGGAGGGAGGGCTTCACTTTGCCACTCTGCTCTGCCACAGCCAGGTCCAGGCTGGGCCACATAACGTGCAGACTCCTCTGTCCCACTCCTCCCCCTGCATCCATTCCCTTCCCTACCTGGCTTCCTGTTGGCACTGCATCTGTGCAGTCCTGGCACTGTGGTATCACTAGGAGGTGAATCTGTGCCAGCCATGGGGGGGGATTGGCATGAGACAGCTACCCCCAACTTTCCTGGTGCAGTGTGGTAGCAGTGGCTCATCACAGTGGGTAGGTGGGTGTGTGGGATAGCTACTCAACATACTGCATCACACCCCCTGTAATGGACAGCTAGAAGGCTCCTGTTACTTAAGGAGAAAAGAGAACTGGTTACAAGGAAAATAGGCACTCCTAGCCTCTCCCACTCCCCCTGGCTGGCTATCGCAGAGCTAGTTGCTCTGCAATAATTCAGCAGAGCAGAACTGTGCTTGGGAAGCATGGGCCCTGCTTCAACAGTGAAATCATTATCAGCAAGCTGCAAGGGAGGCTAGTCAGCAAGCCTACTCAGGAAACACCTGAGGAAGCTCAGGGAGCCCCACGACCAAATGGGGCATGGCTTCCAGCTATATGAACCCAGGGTCTGAGACGGAGCAGGTAATCTGGCCCTGGAGGCTGTAGTGAAAGGAGCTCCAGAGCAGGAGGGTACAGGAGAGCTCCTGGCTAGAACCAGTGTTACCTTGGGGGAGAAGAACAGAATGCTGTGGCTTTGCAGAGGAATGTGACCCAGGATAAGGAGAAGCCCGGTGCTACAAACTGGTAACTGTTGTTTGTGTTTGGACCCAGAGCAGGTTAGTGTTATATCCACAGGGATTATTTCTTTTGTTATAGTTCACCAGTGGTTTGGGTGGGACTGTGAGGGGAAGCTTCAGAGGTCCCATTAATACCTAGGAGGCATGTGAGCACCTGCCAGGGGTCAGGCTCAAGGTGCAGACTGGGACCAGAGGGTCCAAAGCCCCAAGAAGGGTGGAGCAGAGCCAGAGAAGGCCCAGTGCCATAGAAGGATAGAGACAGGGGCCAAGGGGCCATCACCCAGAAAGGGTGAAGACAGGAGGCAGGGGGCCAGTGAGAGCTGAAGCAGACTCAGTACCTGATTGCAGCTGAGTCGGGGCCGAGGGCCCGAACCCTGAGAAGGGCAGAACCAGTGTCTGAGAAGGGTGAGAACCAGGGGCCAAGGGGTCAGTGACCACAAGGAGTTACAACCAGGGCCAGGGGCCCTGACCCTGAGAGTGGCTAAAACTATATATATTTTATTAGACCAATTGATTAGCTGGAAAAAAAGTTCTTAATAAGTTTTTGGGCACAGTCACCCCTGAAGAAGGGTGACTGCACTTAAAAGCTTGCTAAGAACTTTTTTCCAACTACTCGGTCTAATAAAAGATGTCTCATCTACTCAAAGAACCTTGCCTGCCTAACTGCTAGTGGGACACTCCCTCATTAGCTACATGACCACAGCTAGGCTTCTACAATAGGGCTCTCTGCTTCCTCTTAAAGGCCCAGACTGCCTTCTTACAGGACACCATGGAGAAGTTAGATCTTTCCCACATACCGGGAATGATAAGCCTTACAAGAGCCAGGAATGTATGTGTACTGTTTATTGTTTTAAAATCAGTTCTTTCTAAAATGCTAACTCTAAGTGACAGTTTACTTCGAGGTGGTTTTCTAGTAAGTACAGTAACCGTTGTTATTACAGATACTCCTCACTTAACGGTTGTCCCAGTTAATGTTTTGTTTATTATGTTGCTGATCTCTACGAGTAGAGAACACACTCGTTTAAAGTCGTGCAATGTTTGGTTATAACGTTGTTTGGCTGCTGCCTGCTAGTACGTAACTACTGTGATGTAATTGGATTCGCTTAACATTGTTTTGCTTAACGTCACATTTTTCAAGAAAGTAATTATGACGTTAAGCAAAGAGTAGCTGTACTATCAGAGAGAGTGGAAGCCAGCTACTGAAAAACAGACCTGCTGAGATGAACATGGATGTGCTTAAAGACATTAGGAGGGGCCTGAGATGCACATGGGTGTGCTCAGAGACATTAGGAGGGGCCTGAGATGCAAGTCATTTGGGAAGTGTGACAAGGTGCACTTGATTTTAAATTGTGGGACCCACTACTTAGATGCATTTGAGCTGTACTTGGTACAGCACCCATGTTAGGGGTAAAGGTTTCTATATAGACTGTTAGGAGTTGATAGCTACTTCAGTCCCTTGGGGAACATAAAATAGGCTCCTATAAGGTAGCCAAGGCAGAACTGACAGCCTGGTGTATAGAAACAAAAGACCAATTTTCATATGAGTCCAGAGGGATAAATCTCAGGCTTCTAGATAAGAGAAGACCAGGGGCAATGCTTAGGGGGTGCACGTCCACCCCCTGAGTGTGGCAGTGCACCCCCTACAAAAAGGCGCTGCCAACATTGTCGGCGGTGCGTGTGGGCAGTCGCCGCTTGCCACCCCACCGGTGGCATCTGCAGGCGGTCCGCAGTCCCTGTTGGCCGCCTCTGATGCTGCCGGCGGCAGCTGTGGGTGGTCAACAATCCTTGGTCTGTTCTCGCCACCCCTCTCCACTGCTGACAGCGCTGGCAGCATCTGCAGAAGTGTGCCAAGCTCCCTCTGGGCTCCCGCCGCCGCCATGCCTCCCCAGCCGCTGGGGGCATGAGTCGTTCATGGAGAAGACAACACAGCAGAGCCCTACAGAGCTATGCACAAAGAACTTGACATTTCTAAATTTTCTGTAGTAGGGAAGAATAATCTTCTCCACTTTAGGATTAAGTGGATGACAGTCTCTAACTACTAGATGATCATAGTGGTCCTTTCTAACTTAAAAATGTATGAATTAATCTCAACATGCTTTTGCACTGTATTGTTATTGAACTAGCATGAAAAGGCATACCCCTCACCAGTGGCCATTGGAAATCCTGCCAATATATTGTTGCAAGAAGATATTGGTGGGTTTGCCAGGAAAGACAATTTGAGGAAGTATGGATAGTTATGACATGGTTTGTTTGTTTTTTTAGGGGTTCTGTCTAAAGGAAGAGTGCGCTGTCCCTGGCACGGTGCTTGTTTCAACATTGGCACTGGTGATATAGAAGACTTTCCTGGCTTGGACAGCTTACCCAAATTCCAGGTACCATATTCTGGCCCACATAGAAGGGAATGATCATCAGGGTAAGGAAGCCAAAGTGGGGGAGGTCCTGTGAAAATATGAAAAAGTTGTGAGTCCATGTGATTAACTCCCTGCTTTTTCCACCTGATTTCCATGAGTCCCACTGCCCCCAGCCTGAGTCTGCAGGAGCCAACCAATTGCTGTGCAAGTGAGATTCTTGGGTCAGGCAGAGGGAAAGTAGGATGCAAGAACACAAATGGGGAGAGTTTTTTACACAGAAGTTCTTGCTAGAGAAGAGACTTGGGTAGACATGGAAGAAGGGGAGAAAGCTGCCTCAGGCTGCAGTAGCTCTGAGAAACCAGTTACAGGTGTGGGCTAAGAATCCAGATAAACAGCAAGATGGCCCTGTGTTAAAGAGTGTTGTTCATTCAGATGATACTAATAACCAGAGGCAGTCCAGAACTCTGTAGGCAGTTTTCCCAGGTCTCACAGCAACTGTGCAGACTATGCAATATAACTGGGCGATGAGAACATGTTATACTCTGACATGCGTTTCATTCAGTCATTTTTAGAATAGGTTAAATAAATACTCACTTTAGAGTCAGAAGTACTCACTGTCTTGCAAACTACTGCTGTTTTCTCATCCCCAGGTGAAAATTGAGAAAGAGAAAGTGTACATCCGAGCAAGCAAACAGGTGAGGGGAAGAGGTTGTAATAGCATTGCAAATACAGGGTCTGGGCTGGCAGGGAGCCCTAGGACTGCATTCTAAGAAGTGGTGGCAGTGGGTCTGTTTGGCCCTCTGGGCGAGGTAAAGGCCAAACACAAAAAAAGCCAATCTCTTGCACAGAACCCTCCATTCTAGTCTGCGTGGCTGCAGTGGGGTGCATAGAGGTTGACAGATGATATCTCTTGGCTTCTAATGGACAAAGCTATGCATGCTGTAGGTTTGCTTTGAGGTACAGCTCATGTGTGTACATAATATCTGTTAAAGACCATATTCTGATAGTATTTATACTCCTGTAAATTCAGAATAACTCCAGTGACATTATTTGTAACTGGGTAAATCCTGATTCTTTTTATTTTCAGTCATATGGAGCTGCTTTGCTGTGAAATGATATATGATTTTAGGGCTAAAGGACAGTACATTTTGCTGTTGCTTCTGCTTTGTTTAATATCTAAGATTTCTGGTTTAGAGGAATTTTGACAAATGGTAGATTTTTTTTTTTTTTAATAGGGCTTGAGTGAATTGGTTGGTGAGAATTGGGTGTGGGGATGGAATCCTTTTCAGGAAACAAGGGGCCTTGGGAAACATGATATTTATGGCATGATTAACATGTTCATGCAGGTCTTCCAGGTGTACGGCTTTGAATGTGCTAAATGGGGGAGCCCATCAACTGCCCTGCTGCCTGGCATTTGTAGAGATTTATTCTAGTAGCTGCATGCAGGGCTGCTGACATGTGGCTTTGCACTTAATGAGCAGAAAACCTGTCCCATGCAGGAATCCCAGGTGCACAGCTTTGTACTTGCCACACTCCCCGTGCCCAACACATGGTGCTACTAGCACATAGCTTTGCAGAACTGCACTATGTGTGGCTTTCAGCTTGCCAGCGCAGATAAAGCCCAGAATTGCACTTCTGGGCTCTATATGCACTGGAAAATTGAAAGAGTGCAGTTGGGATCTGATATTTGATTCCCAGAATCACCTGTCATACCATGCATATGTGGCATGACAGGACATATGATTATTGGGATCAGGGATCTGATCCCATGGCACCGTTAAATTAATTAATCAGTGGTCAAGACATTTTTGTTGTTTCATCCAAGCTACTTTATTCCTTACTTGTACCTGTTCTTATGAACTTCACAGGGGAAGTTTTGAACTGTTAATAACAGTGATCTCATTCATTGTCATGCAGGCTCTTCAGACACAAAGAAGGACAAAGGTGATGGCCAAGTGTATCTCGCTTAGCAACTACAACATCAGCAGTACTAATATCCTGATCATTGGAGCAGGTATCAAGATGTCTTGGCTAAACCAGGCTGTGTGAATATCTTAAATTGCTTACCCAATACACATTCTCCAACATACAATGTGTACAGGCCTACACATTTTCAACTAAGCTGGAGATCTGTATGTACATCCCCTGCAATGCTAGCCTGATCTGTTCCAGACTACCTGACCTTAAAAGGTCCTTATGGCCTTTGATGACCCTAGGAAATTCTATGCAATGGCCTCATATTTCCCATTTATAGATGCTCACTACTGGACATTATTGATACCCATTCCTAACCTCCCCAAAAGTGCGTGTGCATGTAACCACCATTCCTCTTCCAGTTTCCCAAGGCATGGCTTCCTGATAGAGTAGGCTTGTCCTGTTCCCAGTCTGTATTCTGCTCTAGAATAATGCAGGCCCTTTAGTCTGTAAGTAACTCCTGACTCAAGCACTTCATATATTCGAAGCACCATTTTTTCCCCACTCTGAATAGTCCTTTTCTCCTGACCTATTTAACTATGTGCTGTTGATGTCTCTCTGCCTTTCTACACTCCAACTAGAGTCTCCTTATATTATCTTCACAATAGAAGGGCCGCATCTACATGAGATGGTGACTGCGCAGTAGCCCATGACTACTACACTGTAGCATCGCATAGCAGGAAGCATGACGTGATGCTATTGCACAGTAGTCACAAGCTACTGTGCAGTCAGTGTCACAAAAATGCCATTCCTCGATGCAACTGTGCAATAACTCCAGTTGCTGCGCAGTCATTTAGTACTTTAGTACTTGTTTATACAAGTACGAAATTACTCCTCAATAATGACTGCACAGTCACTGTCTCGCGTAAACGTGGCCCCAGTCTACATAAAAGCCTCATCTTTAGAAGCAAATCAACTGGCTTGTCCTTCTCTAAGTCCACTCTCAGGTGTTTGTGTTATGTTTGAATTAAGGCCTTGTCTACTGTTGGAATTTTTGCAAAGCTCCTTTCATTGCTCTGTCACCAGTACAACTCCATGGGTGATCTTGGATAAATGAGCTGCTGACTGCTACACTCTCCTTCCTGCTCTGAGCAGGCTTAAACAGCTTAACTCTTAAAATAGCCTCTCAACACTAAAACTCCCAATACACAATAAATAACACTGCTGAAGGTGAAATGTTGACTGTGACAAATATGAATATTTTCTACTATTTCCCTTGTCAGACAAGGGTTTAAGAGGAACAAAACATAAGAAGGGTTAGAACAAGAAGCCCAGTTTATTTGCACTGATGCTTTTCATTTTCCCCATTATATATGATTGGCGCACAACTTTACAGAACAGGAAATTCTATCAGCTTTCTTTTTGTCTGGGCTTCTTTGTCCCAGACGCACACACACCTTCGAGAAATAGGTGTACAGTTCAAACTAACAATCTGGGAGTATTCAGGGATGAGCCAGAAATGCTGTTGCTAAACAACTCTTCCCACCCTCAAGGAGAACGCAGCTAACTGAGGTTGTACATGATGGCTTATAAGACACCTATAGAAGTAAGCTGGCACATCTACACTTGCTCTTTAATGTGTAGTAGTCTATTTTACTGTGCATTAAAGTGTCATGTAAAAAAGTGCTATTATGCTAATACACAGTAAAATAGGCTACTGCACACTAAGCATCACCTAAAAAGTGTAAACTTGCACTACTGCACATTAGGGCAGCTTAATGTGTCTTTACTTAGTACCTCACATTAGTACTAAATAAAGAACGTGTAGATGCACCCAGAGAGTCCCTAAAGATGGCTAATATAACAGTCATCGATTCATATGAATCTAAGAATGTATGCGTCTAAGAGAGCTTCTCTAGTGTTCATATAAATGGAGGGACCCACCATTCTGCCCCCCTTCATCCACAGACAGAATCCTCTTCTTAATCCTCCATATCAAGAATCCTAAGCCTCTGCATTAAGGAAAGATATAAGGCTGGATCAGGATTAGAGAAGATTGTAGAATTTTGGAGCCAATCTTAGCATGGACTCATCTGGGAATTCCAGTTCCATAGTAATGATATTCTCTAACTTTGAATGTTGGGGAACAAATGGCTCAGACTATTGACTCCTAAGGCACATCGCAATGAGCATGTATGTGCAGTTTGTGGTGTCTCAGCTGGGTTTTAAGGTGCAGCAAACCATATGCGGTGCATGTGTACCCATTCACTACACTGCTAATTGGCAGCACAGCATTTTTCTTTGACACGGGGAGATCCCATCGTCAAAAAAAACCACTTCTAAAAAAAGCAGCATGGCACATATGACAGCAGCTTGAGCCACCAGAAACCAGAGCCTGGCCAGCAGCCAGAGCCATGCTTTGGCTGCCAGCCAGGCTCCAAGCAGCTGGTTCAGCATCACTGCTGCCGTGGGAGACCCCCTGGACTCCAAGTAAGCCTGCTGGGGCCAGCACATGTGACCCACCTAAGTTACTTTGCCATGCGACAGAGTGCGCGTGCAGGAGCATGCCTGAGGACAAATAGCAATGATATGAATGTCACTGCTATTTGGCCCATGGAAAACATGCACAATCATCAGGATGTGCCCTAGGGTGCATCTCCATGTGTAGAGGTGTGCAGTGGCAAAAGATGTAGTGGCACAAATTTTTGCTGCTACTTTTTACTGCTGTGCAAGCCCCTGCACTTTCCTTCAGGGCATCACTTTGGAGAAACTGGCGTTTCTCTGCTCCTCCTGACTCTTGATGTTCTGGATGAACTGGGAGGAACACCCTGGTGGGAGGAGAGGAGGAGGGGAGAGACACCCTGGCTGGCAGTGAGAGCATCTCCCTGGAGGACTAAGCCTCTGTGTCTGTTGGCACATGTGCCTGTGGCATGCGCTGCACTGTTTGTTTGGGGTTTTTTGGCACCTGGTTTTGTTTTGTTTTTGTTTTGTTTTGGACCCCAGGTAAGGATGGTGGGGCCAGCCCAGATGCTGGCTTCAGCCTTTCTTACCTCACCTAGGGCAATTTGCCATGTGCCAGAGTGTGCATGCAGGGGCATTCCCCAGGGACAACTAGCAGTGACATAAATATGTGCTGCTGCTAGTTTTCCCTGGGGAATGCATGTTCCCACTCATGGGGATGTGCTCACTTATTCTAGCATGGCATAACTTCAAGTTAACCTGGCTAAAAACCTTACTAGCATGCAAGCTAAAAGGATTCTAGCTCAACATAAGGTCTACAAGACTTATAGGAACATGAGGATAGAGGACATAGAATTGGAAGGGACCTTTCAAATCAAGTTCAGTCCCCTGCTATCACACGCAATCACATCATACATTCCCTTTCAGAAAACAACTACAAAACCACATCTAAAACATATTAGTTTTATTTCCCTTACTATGGGGAGGCCCTGCCAGAACCTTATTGCTTTGATGTTTAGAAATCTGGTAATTTCCAGCCTAAATTCGCTCCTGATCCTCCTGCCAACACTGTTCATTAGCTTAAATAGATTTTCTTCCTCCCTGGCGTTTCCTAGGACTGTGAGAAGCTTTGGTCCCTGATCCGATTCGGCCCAATTTGGTGGCCAAATCTCCGAATCTGAATCAAATCAGAGGACCCTTGAATCTCTTTGAATTGAATCAGAACCCTCCAAATAGATTTGGAAAGATTTGGAGATTCTGCCATAGACACAGCTTTAAATGTTTTTTCTACATACCTCTAGGTAGCAGGCAGCTCATGAATGCTGCAATACTGGGGCTGACGGAGCGTCCCACAGAAGTGCGGGGAGCTCCCCAGCACGCTCAGCAGCAGACCCAGAAGTGGACCAGAAGCACTTCCAGTTCACTTCCAGGTCCGCCGGGGAGCGCGCCAGGGGGGCCCCTTGCGCTCCTCTGGCTCGGTGACTGGTGGTGGGACCCGGGGTCTTCCTGTGGCTGATCACCGAGCCTGATATCTCATCTAGCTGGGCTTCAAAATGGTTGCTATTATGACTCTCATCCACTTCAGCCAAAGTGCCTTTTTTGCTGATCTCTTGGATGGAATCACCAGGGAAAGGGAAAAAATAGTTGGAGCAACCGCAGAGGTGGGCAGCAAGGATAGAAGGGGGCAATACTATTTCCAGGCTTTCCTCAGCAGCTTGCTATCCCCCTGCCCTTTTGCTTCCATCCACCCAGACCCACCCCCCAGACTCAGCAACCTAAGCTTCCATATTCCCTTCAGCCAGATCACTCATCCACCCTATTTTCCCCAGATGCTTCCCATCACTGATCTGAACTTAACCCCCACAAACCTGGTTGCCCTCAGTCCTCCAACTCACCTGCCCCTAGACATCCCTGCAAAGCCCGACTGTCTCCATTTCCCCTTGTTGAAATTTGTCCCCAACCACTTTCATTGCTCCTATCTTCCCCCCCAAACTAACTTCTTCCTGCATCTCCCCCAAATTATCCCCTGAAGATCTTAATAAATCCAGCTTCCTTTTTGCTGCCAACCAGCACTTCCATGCACCTGGTTTTCTGACATCTCACAGACCCTCCCTTGTTTTGCTGAGAGAGACTCCAAATCCAGCTACCCGAGTTTCTCCCTCTCAGAAAACACCTATATATCTGCTATTTACCTCCAACCTCCCCTTTCCCTCACCCACCTGGATGCTAAAACTGCCAGATTTGTGACACTTCTGCTAGGGTAGGCCATAAAGACATTACACACACCTCTCTCTGTCTGATTTCATCCTCTGAGCAATTAAGTGCTTTTCTCTTGTAAAGTGAAATATATGAGTAATCACCAGCTTTATTTTTCTCTCAGGTGCTGCTGGATTAGTTTGTGCAGAAACCTTAAGACAAGAAGGGTTCTCAGACAGGATTGTAATGTGCACAATGGACAGACACTTACCTTATGACAGACCCAAGCTAAGTAAGGTTTGTGTCATTCAAAAAGTTTCTTACTGAACAGCCCCATTGTCAGAGCTTGTCTCTTGCACTTGACAGCAGGTATACCAGCCATCACAGACTCTGCTACTTTGTGCAGTGTTTAGAATACTTCGTTGAATTCTTCAGAAAATGAATTCCAGTGGCTCCAGGCACTTTTCACCCATTTAAGATACATTTTTGATTGCAAACCTTGAACCCCGCTTGTCTCATTGCTTCATAATCTAAGACCCAAAATGGGATGAACCTAATGAAAACAGGAGTCAAAATTTTCAAATACAGGTACCTAATATTAGATTAGACCACCAAAATTAGGCATGTAAGTAAATGACTTGATCATAAGAACTGAGGGCATGACAGCTTCCATTAAAGTCAGCAAGACCTGTGTGGCCTTGGTCTAGTTTAGGGATGGACAATTATTTGGGCCTGGGGGATACCTAGGGAGTTTTGATGAATTGTGGTGGGCTGGGTCACCACAACCCCCTTTCCTGCCACTGCAACAACTAGCCAAAACTCCCTATGTGGGATGGGGCTACAGATGGGCAGGGGACAGTGCTGTTCAGCTCTCCCTGCTTCCCGCAGTGGCTCCTTCTTCTGCTCCTGCTGCACCGCTCTGGGTAAGGAGGAGGTTTCAGCTGGGTGGCTCCTGCCCCAGTGCATGGGGGTCCAGCTCTAGCTCCCAGCTCCCTCCCATCCACTGTCTGTCCAGTGCGGGCAGCCAAGTGGGTGGAAGGCAGCTGGAAGATAAAACTGGAGCGCTGGGCACTGGGGCAGGAGCCACCCAACTGAAGCTTCCGCCTCACCTAAAGTGGTGCAGCAGGAGAAAGAGCTGCCACTGGAGGTGAGGGGAGCTAAACAGCACCCCAGTGGCTGCAGCTACACTGGGAGCAGCCCCGCTGGAAGCTGTGCATGCTGGCTTGGACCAGGGCCAGTGGGCACAGGCTGGAGTGCAGTGTGGGCTGCCCAGGGTCAGGCTTGGCCCCATGCAGAGCACCATGGGAGCAGCCATGGGCCAGATCCAATCAATTGGCAGGTGCTCCCCACAGGCTGGATCCAATCAATTGGTGGATTGGATCTGGCCCATGGGCCATATTTTTTCCACCCCTGGTCTAGGCTAATGAGAGACAGTGGGTGCACCTACACATACACTTTACTGTAGAGCTGAATAATTAGCTTTGCAGTAAAGCATCACCATCTACATGTGCCCCATATTGGGGTGCAGTAAATTAATTAACTCCACTGTAGGATAGTACTGTCCTACAGCGGAATAGTTATGTGCATCACCTAGCCCTTCGCTGTAGCACCCTCATGCCCCAGCCAGCCCCTCCACAACACATTGAGCAGAGGCAGAGTAGCTCTGGCCTGGCAGGCTGACCCCTCCAGGCCCTCTGCCAGCTTTGACTGATCTGGCCTGGCTCAATGTGCTACAGTCCTGGGTGTACATATAAACACAGCACCCAGGAACAATAAACTTTGGTGCAAACCATGCAAGAGTTTATTGCTACGTGCTAATTGCATGTGTAAATGCACCCAGTGAGGCCTAGGTAACTTATTTTTTAAAATATTGCTGTGACCTAGCCTCAGTATTATTTAATATATTTCCAGCTGTTTTTCTTTTATTCCTGTTTTTCCTCTTGAATTTTATTTTTTTCTAACAGGATATAAAAAAAAAATGTTAAGTTATGCAAAACCAGTAGAAAGTTTACCTGGAAAAGGGAAAAAATTAGAAGAAGGAATTCTACATTGCTGTCACAGCAACTGACTCAGACCCCTTGTACACAGGCAGAAAATTGTTTAAGCTATGTATGGTTAACTTTTTTTTTAGTTTTGAGTATCTTTCTAGACAAATTTTGATTAAAGTGAAATACGATATGAGCATGCTTACCATGTGCTTTACTGCTTGAATGCATGGTCACTCACATTGTAAGTGCATTTAACACCTGCTAAGTGTCACGTGCAACATAGCCCTGATTCTCTTTTTCCATCGTGGAATTTTTTTGTTGTTCTTTTTTCTTCCCTTTTCCATGCCAGAAGGAACTATCTCTTGAGCTTTTACTTCAGCTGTTCAGAAGCTTTCCTATCCTGTCTGCTTAAATGAAATTAGGACCCAGTGCAGTGTCCATTAGAGTCAGAGTTCAATTAGCTTTGGATCCAGGCCTTGTCCAGGAGCATTTTGCAGATGTCTAGGGTGACAAGGCTTCTGCAAGGACAAATTTCAGGCTATTGCCTAAGTGTTTTGAATAAGAGTGCCTTTCCATGTTGTGTGAGGGAAATGACTATGAACTCACAGTTGTCTTGCCTATATTTATAACTGAAAAATTGGTGACAACAAAATTGCTTTTCTGTTGCAGTCAATGGATTCTCATTCAGATCAGATCACCTTGCGCCCTAAGGAATTCTTTCGTACATTTGACATTGAGGTCCTGACTGAAACACAGGTAAGGAGAGCCATATTTGAATGGCATGCAGAATGCATCTCTGATATTCTTTATCTAGCACAAAGGCTGTACATTTCTAGAAAAAACAATGGCTAGCTTTGGTAGCTGGCACTGTCAAATTCTTTTTAAAGAACTACGAGTATTAGCAAAGGCTTCATCAAATCCATAATGGCAAATTCTGCACTTAATGGCCAAGGATGGACCCCTTTCAGACTTATGTTCCTAACGTGATTCTAAGATTACTAAAAGCCTAGGCCTTTGCTTTGCTAGCAAATAGTTACTATTCCATTTTCTAACAGTGTGGATTCCCAGTGAGGCTGACCTCATGCAGAATATTAACAATATCATCCTAAAATTGCAATGGTATCTTGCCCTCCCATCTCCGAGCATTCTTAGTCTATTCTGATATTCTGCCTGCAGACAAAATTGATTCTGACAGCTCGCCTAACTAGTTGTAACTTGGGAGTAATTGTGTACACACATCTTTCTCTGACAGTGCCAAATTCTTTTGGTATGCAGGGAGACCTTTGAAAATAATACAAGATCTAGATAGCCTAATTGCAGAGGGAAACCAAAAGAACTAAGAGTAAAACGTAGAAGAACCAAAACTGAAAAAAATCCTTTAAAACTGAAGGGCCAGATCCAGACGTGCCACCATATGTAGTTTGGGGTGCCACAAACATCTTTGCAGAGCCACAAACCACAGACTTGGCATAATAAAATGTGCCCTACACTGCAGATTTTCAGCGTAAGGGCAAAATCTGCTACTGGGAATTCCGGTGCTGAGGGGAAAAAAAGCAGTGTGGCGCATGTCACAGGCGCATGTACCATCAGACACGGAGGCTTGATCCTCCAGGGAAGCACTCTGGCTGCCAGCCAGAGCATCTCCGCTCCTCTAGTTCATCCCAGCTCCAAAACAGTGGAGGCCTAAGGTGAGGCTACTAAAAACTCCTGATGCTAAAAATAAAATGATCTAATTTAATAGCATAAAACCAGAATAAGTTTTCATACAATCTGTTTAAAAACACATGGAGGGATGATCAATAAGGGATTGGACACAAGAGGTACTTCCAGAGGAACCTACCAAAGATTTATTTTGCATTGCTTCTTTCACACGAGCCATCTTCTGCCCACATTGCAAATACCTGCCAACACGTGATGTCCACCTCCCTGGGTCTCATTCAGCTCTGCTTCCCCCAGAGCATATTTGTGTTCAGGGAATTTGGCGTCCCTCAAATGCCTCACTCCTTTTTTTTTTCTTTTTTTTTTGCCTATTCTCAACTTGAGTCTTGTTATCTTTGCCAATTTTTATATCCCTCCATCTTTATTTCTCTGTCTTCACTAGTACTGGCATCTTCCCATGACTTAGTATCCTCAGCAGAGCTTTCCCTTCACTGTCATATTTTGCTCCAGCCTGATAATCACAAGATTATTCAGGCCAGTGTGGTAGATTGGGGGAGGAGGGAAAGCAGAGTGGCATGTCGCAGCTCTATGGTTGTCTATGTTTTACTATTAAAAAAACAAAACAAAAGCATGTTTCTTTCCTGCACCATATTCTCTCATGCCCAGGTGCTTTCCCCACCCAAAGCTAGCATTTAGCCAGCCAGGGCTTCTACCACCCTGGTCCCCTCATGATGCCCAAAAGAAAAGAATGATTTTGTAAACTCACCTGTGGGGAAACTGAGGCAGGATCTGCTCTGCACACAGTTCCCATGCCCAAGGCTGGCATTCAGGTGTCCAAGGCTTTCAGTCTCCCTGTACTTCACCTGCCCTATTCCCATGTACCCGGGTGTCACCTCATGTCCTAGCATGCCTGGAGATAATCTTCTAGGGCTTCCCTGACCATGACTTCCTGCTGGTTGGTGTGCCCTGGATGCTAATGCTGTGGCAAGGGTGGCTTGCCCCTGCATGCTGTGCTTCCTCCATGTGCTACGTTTTTCTACACCCAGGCCTCATGGAAGACTTTACCCTGGCCTCACAGGTATTATGGAGGATGCGGGCAGAGATGATGAATATTCCTCTGCCATATCCAGGCATCCACATAGAGGTCTTCAGCATGCCTTGAAGAGGTTGAAGGTGCACTTAACAGTCATGCAGTACCTGCTGAGGCAGTAGTTGAAGTGCTTCTCCTTGTTGTCCAGGTACCCAGGGAATGGCTTCATGAGGGTAGGTTGGATCCATAATGATAAGAAGTGAGGTGAGAATTCCACTGACCTTGATGGTGGGAGCCCCAGGGGCATACTCTCTCCATTTTCCATCATTGGAAAAGGGAATTGCAGAGAACCCTAGTGTTGTGGGGCGGGCAATGCCAACTGGTGTTGATATAGGTGAAGTTTCTATGGTAGTCAAGACACAGTGCACTACAATGGGGAAAAAACCCCTTGCAATTGATTAACTTAATGGAGCCTTTTTGAGGGAAAGTAAGGGGATGTGGGTGCTGTTCAGTGACGATGCGTAGGGGGTCCACCTGCACCCCCTGACAGCAGTGTTCCCCACTTAGACAATAGGCAGGGGGGCAGGCAAGAGTGCTGGTCCCTCCCCTGAGAGCACCAGCCAGGGAGTGAGGGCACCAGGAGAAGCAATCCCTGCAGTCCCCCCATGGCTGATCATGCCGACTGGAGGGGGAGGGGGAGTTCCCCTGCGGCCGATTGCACTGGCCTGGGAGTGCCAGCGGTCTCTGACTGGCTGCTGGGGGGGCAAGTGCCCCCCTGACTCAGGAGGCACCAGTCAGCCATGGTGCTGTTGGTGGCCCTGATGCTGTTGGGGAAAGCCATCCAGTGGAATCTGGTGATGATATCCTGCTAAGGTGGATGACATGGTCCAATAGTATATGCTGGCATGATCAAGCCATGCCTCCCATACTGACACTCTAGCTGTGCACTCTCCACACACTGAACTGGTTGTTAACAAAGCAAAGACTGTTGGGGGTTGTGAGCTTCTAGATGGCAATAGGATGGTGCTTTGCTGGAGTCAGGGGTGGCTCTATGCCAAGGTCCTGTCACTCAATGTATGGGGCCTGTTCAAACATCTGCAGGAGAAAGGCATGGCTGCAGAATGATGAGAAAGGCATGAGAGATAAGGGATTGGACATAGAGCTATTTCCAAAGACATGTGACAACCAAAAGCTGTATTTTGCATTGCTTCTTTCACACAAGCCATCTCCTGTCCACAGGTTCATGCCTTTTTCATCATTCTATAGCAAGGTGATTGTTCTGCAGCTATTGCTGGTCATCCCAAATGTCCAGGATTATGTGCCCCTGCTAGTCACTGCTCATCTTGTGGGCCTTGAAGCACTGGTCATCAGTCTAGAAGTGCTCCCAGAGTACCCTAGACTACATGGTGTCCAGCAAGACATATCTTCATCAGCCATGTGGAAGTCAATGGCCATATTCATGAGGCTCAGTGGCTGTAAGCACTGGTAAGTGACCTTGTATCCATCACAAAGCTGGCAAATCAGTCAGCAATGCAGAAATCCTCAACTTTAGGAAAGGTCACTTTCACAAGCTCAGAAGGACAGTTGTTGAGGCCCTGAGAGACCATGATATGAAAGAGAGGGTGAGCCCATGATGAGTGGTAGCTCCCTAAGGCTGTGGTCCTAAAAGCACAAGGGAAGTCCATTCTGGCCCAGACGAAAGGTAGCAAAAGGACTGGAAGAGCCCCTTGGCTCAGTAGGGACCTCACGGACCTTCTGAATCTGAAAAGAGAAGCTTGTAAAGAATGGAAGTTGGGAACTACCAATAAGGAGGATTATGCAGCACTGGCCTGCACCTGTAGGGAGCGGACCAAAAAAGCCAAGGCTGAAACCGAACTCAAACTGGCTACAGGAATCAAGGACAATAAAAAGTCCTTCTTCAAATATGTGGGAAGTCAGAAAAAAAAACCAAGGGCAACATTAGACACTTGCTGAACCAAATGGTGCAGCTTACAACTGACACCCAGAAAAAAGCTAATCTCCTCAACAGTTACTTTGCGTTGGTTTTCCACCAGCCCAAGGGGATCACCCTGCCTGACAAAACACAGGAGTACTAGGGTAAGGCAATTATATGCCTCTAATTGGTGAAGATCTTGAGAGGATGGACATCCACAAGTCAGTTGGCCCAGATGGAATGCACCCAAGAGTGCTAAAAGTGTTGGTCATGTTATGATGTCAGTCAATGGCAAGGATAGTTGAGAACTCATGGTGCTCGGGAGAGGTTCCGGACAATTGGAAGAGGGCCAATGTGGTGCCTATCTTCAAGAAAGGAAGGAAGGAAGATCCAGGGAACTACAGGACAGTCAGTTTAACCTTAATCCCTGGCAAGATCTTGGGGGAAAAAAATCAAAGAAACCATCAACAACAGGCTAACGGAAAGCAACATTCTGAGAGAGAGCCAACATGGCTTAATTGCAGGTAGGTCTTGCCTGACCAACCTCATTTCCTTCTATGACCAGGTGACACATCACCTGGACAAAGGAGAAGAGGTTGATGTCATATATTTAGATTTCAAAAAAGCCTTTGATTTGGTCTCCCATGATGTCCTTATGGTAAAATTGGGGAATTGCAGCCACAACTTTACGGTCCAATGGCTGGGGAACTGGCTCCGTAGTTGGACCCAGAGAGTGATAGTTGAGGGAACTGAGTCAACATGGCGCAGGGTGACCAGTGGTGTCCCCCATGGCTCAGTACTCAGACCGGTACTCTTTAATATATTCATAAATGATCTGGATTTGGGAGTCAAAAGCAGACTGGCTAAGTTTGCAGACGACACCAAATTATGGGGAAGTGCGGTCACACTACAGGATAGGCTGGCAATTCAGGCTCACCTAGACAGGCTCCCAAGGTGGGTAGATCAAAACCTGATGACATTCAACATGGAGAAATGTAAAGTGCTCTACCTTGGGAGAAAAAACCCACATCATACTTATAGGCTACACTAACTAGCACCATGAGTGAAAGAGACTTGGGGGTCATGATGGACCACAAGATGAACATAAGCCACCAATGCAATGCCACAGCCAGC